TGATACGGCCCAGTGGGTTCATCAGAGCCTGGCTTTGGGGGCCGTGGTGGGTGATTTCAGAGGTCTGGAATGTCAGATAGGCTTATCTAGGCCGGGAGATAGCAGCCTTCCTCTCCCAGTTTCACCCCTCCCAATCTCCCACCCTGGCTCCCTACCTCCCTCTGTAGCTCAGGAACCACATAATGAGTTGGGCTGCATGAATCACAGTCTGGGCTACCTCCCACTGAGGACTGGAGAGGCAAAAATGGGCAAGGGTCAGGTTCAGAAGCAAAAGGTGTGGGGTGATCCTGCTGGATGCTCACAAAATACAGGCATTTACTTTCCACAAGTTAATCAGTCTCCATTATACAGGCTAGCCCCATTTCTGCTGGTGACAAAAGAGTCCATGACTCATTTCCTGCACACATATTTTTATGGCAATGATGTACAAATACCTTCTGTCCTGAATTGGTTACTTGTAATCAATGAGCCACCCCAGGAAGGATGGTGAAAGAACCCTGGATTGGGAATCGGGGCTCATCTTCAATGGTTCTCCACGTCCTCTGCTTGACTGTAGGACCATGTTTTCACAACCTGGCCCCAGGAGGCCTTTCTCTCTGGTCTCCTCCTGCCATCCACCCATTCTGCTCTCTCTGGCTCTCACCCTCTCACCTCTCCCCACATGCACCTTCACTCCCATTTCTTAAGCAGCACTCTGCCTAGATTGTATCTCTCTGCTTGGTGTTCCCTCTAGCTCTTCCCTCAGCAATGCAAGGCAAACTCCTACTCATCTGTCAAGCCCCAAATCATACCTCCTCTTCCAGGAAGCATTTCCAGACTACCCCAGTCACACATACTCCTGAAGAACAGTGTATACACCTCTCTCACAGCACTTAGGATATTAATGGTAATAATGCCTGAGCATTTACTGATCACTTGTGCACTAGGCAACATTCTAAACACTTTACAAAAATAACCTTCTTTAATTTTCACAGTCACTCCATGAAGAAAGTGCCTCATTCTACAGAGAATGCGACTGAGGATCAGATTTAAATAAGTTGCCCAGGGCCACAGAGATATGAAGTGGCTGATGGGTGCCTAGACAAGTGCCTGGCACATAGTAGCTGCTCAGTAATTATTCACCTCAAAAATGATCACGTGAATAAACACAGAAATAATGACATTTCTGTCTCCTCCATAGAAAGTTCAAGTAAGAACTACTTATTAATCTTTCACACCATCTCCCCTGTCAAACACTTACTAATGTGTAGGGCAAGGGAAATATATAATAAATGAACAAAAAAATAAATGAGCAAACCAATACAGGGAGCCCAAGACCTATCAGTGCAACTCACCAGCTTCAGACAGATAGCTTTAGCTTGCTGGGCCCTGTTTGTTACCTGTCAAACGCAGAGACTGTACTCAGCATTCTCTCAAGTTCCTTCTAGCATTAAAGGTACATATAAAATAAATGCCCAGACACCATGATTTTGTGGTGATGGTAATCCCCATACTAAATTATTGCATTTTCTTCTGGGTTGTTTTCCCCAGGAACATTACATAATTGGATGTGGCCTTTGATCCAGGTACTATCCTAATACAGAACCAATAGCAGTCCTGAAAGAGTGAATTTGGCCTGATCCTTAGTTCATTCCAAGGTTCATATCCAAACAGATCACACCCAGGGAAAGAATTATTAAGTGACTGGCAAAACCCTCATAAATAACAATCAATAATACACAATGATCCCAAGTTAGATTATGCAACCAGCATCTAAGCCACTGCTTTAGTGACCTTGCAGGTCCTTCTCCCTGTCCCCTGTCCCCTGTGCCAGAGACCTTCTTCTCCAAACATATCCTGGTCATCATCTCCCCGACCATCACCACCAACACACACGCACACACACACACACACACACACTCTGCTGGAATGAAGGGAGCAGCATAGTTCTTAGCACATAGCAGGGGACAATAAATGCTTATGAAATGCTGAAGCCCAGATCCACTCCAGATGGCGCTGAACTGTGTCCACATCAGCACAACGTGGGAGTTCTGGCTGAATTTCATTCATTCCCACTCTACCTGTGGGTAATCAGGAGCTTGGCTATATGCCTGGGACCTGACACACCTGTGTCCCATGATCAGCCACATGCATGCTAATGCCCAGCATTTCTTGTTTGGCTAATGCTCAGTGTAAATGACTACACCAAAGGATACCTAAATGAGGGGTGTGAGCAAGACTGGATCTGTTCATGTTGGAAGAGCAGGAGGACTGTGTTCTGTATTTTGCTTGACTCACAGCAAGGGGTATAAGTGTCATGCTCACAGAACTGAGCACTAACTATTCACATGAATCCAGTATGGAAAGGATCTCTATCATAACCGGGTTGCAAATAAGGACTCACTGGAGAGGACACCTGTTGTTTATCCATCTCTCACCTCATGTCCTTGGGGACCTGCTCCTCCCTCACGTCAATCATGTGATGTTTGAAAGGGCTTCCAAGGACAGTAGCCAGCTCCCCTGGCCTTGGCCACAATAACTGCCCAGAGGTGAGCCTACAGGGGTCCTTCCCTGAGATTTTTTTCAATATTGAGCAGGAAGAGAAAGATTCTAGCCTTTTGTGTCATAACACTATAAACATATGAACTAGAGTCTACCAACATGAAAAACTGTTTGCAGGATGGAGGAATGGAGCCAAAGCAAAGCAAACATCCAAGAGCTAGGTGGAAGGAGAGGGGACAGGAGAGACTTCGAGTGTCTGTACCTTCCTGTCTACACCAATCACTGATTTTCCCATTTTCTTTAAAGTAGTATGAGTTGGGTTTCTGAAATGTGCAGCTAAAGTGCCTCACACAGTCACAACTGTAGTTAGAGTGCACTTTCAAATGTACTTCCTACTCTTCAGGTAGTTTTTATGAGATAGGCTATCACACATTTCAAATGTCTTTGTTCCTCCTCTTAAGAAAGGTGTAAAAATTCCTGGGCAAGAATTCCTCTTACTCAGCATCACTCGCTGAAGATGTTAGTTCTTCCCCTTTGTGTCCCAGGCACCAATGGTGACCTGCCAACCACAGGATGTGAGGACTCTTCTATTTCAAACCATCACAGCTTGTAAAATAGGGGCTGGCCAGACAGGCTAGGCAACCGGCTAGTGATTTTTGAAAGAAGGACTCTTACATGGTGGTCAGACCCTGCGTTCCATCCCTCTGCTGGCTGACTCCCTTTGAAAGTCTGTCTTCAGATCGCCAACAGAGTTCCCCCAACAGCTAGACGGGGCAATGCATTTCCTAATAAACTAAGGCCTCTGAAAACATTCCCTGAGAAAACACTGCAGTCTAGCCACCTGATTTCTATAACACCTTTTTCCTTTTTACCTTCACCAGAGGATATGTTTTTATTGATTTTTAGAGAGAGGGAGGGAGGGAAAGAGAAACATCAATTGATTGCCTGACCGGGAATCGAACCAGCAACCTAAGTATGTGTCCTGACAGGGAAACAAACCCACAATCTTTTGGTGTATGGGATGATCCTCCAAGGAACTGAGCCACCTGGCTAGGGCTATAGCACCTGTTTAAAAGAAAGCCACCATGTGCAATTACTGAGAATGGTAATGCTTCTAAAGTTAAAAGCTTCCCTGACCTCTATGTCTGAAGAACTTGCTCAGTGAACTATGAACGATGAAGTTACAACAACTAGGAAGGGAGGTGCTGGGCGGGGCTGGCATCTAAGACATTGGCCCCACTCCTTTCTCCCCTTCTCTTTCTTTAACACTTTCATCTCCTCTCTGTAGGGCTGAAGCCTGGCAGGTTATGGGCAGGCACTGCCCGGATGGCTAGAGTGCTCTGGGCTGAAGTGATGGGTCTGTTCCACTCTGATGCAATGTTCTTCCCATGCCCCATACAGCTGTGCATCCCAGCCTCAGAGGAGCTTGGCAGCTGTCTCCCCGGGGGCAAGGGAAAGCAGCCGTATCCCACGGTGGACTCAAAGGCTCCTCATCACCAAAACAAACACACAACAGTCCTGATCGCCATGGAGAGTTCAATCCTCTTGTCTGGGATTGGCACTGACTAGAATTCCAAGGGCTCTGACTGAACTATCTCCTGTGAGGTCTAAATACAGCATGCTCACTTTTAACCTAAACATCCAATCTGGACCAGTGCCCAGGGTGGACAGCCCCCAAGGCCCAGCCAGGAAATCTTGACTCCTGGCTGTCCATGCAGCAATGGGCACTGCAGAGCTATCTGAGGTGGGATGTGCGGGTCAGCCCCACATTCGCAGATGCTGTCTATGGCCAAACAAAGGGGAAGCAATCAGCTTGTGGAGGGTTGGCCACAAACATGATCCTGGACAGAGAAATGCATCCTGGGGCAGGAGGTGGAGAGGTAGAGAATGGGAACGTTGAGGAAGATGAGAGAGGGGGAGGAAAAGGCAGTAAGGACCAAAGACATATTTCCTAGCCAGTTAAAGTCAGCGCATCTTTCTAAAATGTTTGCTCCCAGGGGAACACAACTCCCTAATTATGCCTCTCCACGGAATTTAGGGCTTAGGCTCCAGAATCTGGCCAAGGTTGCCTTCTAATTGTGTGACCTGGGACAAGATCATTGACTTTTCAGTTTCCATATCTCTAAAATGGCCCAATGGATTACTGTGGGCGCGCAATGAAACCATGTACATAAAGTGCCCAGAACACAGAAGTTGCTCAATAAACAGTAGTTACTATCAGAAGCAGTAGCAGTAGTAATAGAAGTAGGATAATGTCAAGCATGCCTTTATTTTCTCCGCCTTGGAGAGGACACAAGAAGAGTTGTTAGAGCCACCACAATAAGATGGAAACTCCCAAACCAGGATAAGCTGTGCATGTACATGTGGACAAAGAAAATCTTCAACTGAACAAGGCAGTAAAACACACCCACACCTGGTGAAAACCTTAGAATGGCCAAAGGGCAACAGCCTCCTACCCTCTCAGCAAGTCAGCCCACATGCCCCACAAGGGTAAGATGTCCGCACACGGGTTCCCTTACCTTGGTGTTCATGCACGACTTCCCTCGCTTATACTCCTTGTGGGATCCTCGCTTGTCCAATTTGTACCACAGGGCTTTGGCCTTCCAGGTGGTGACTCTGGACTTGAGCTTGGAATAAAAGTTTCTGTGGTCCAGAGGGTCTAGGTCCAGGTGTCGAGTGAGGATGTTGAAGGCCTGGAGGGTGCCCTTGCATGTGGAAGCCTGGACAAAGTTCTCAAAAACCTGCCCAGCCTGGGCCTGCTTTTCGTCTTCATTTTCCCCCATGTTTCAGGAGCCGTGTGGAGTGGTGGCGTGGAGAAGATGAAGGAGGACACCATGAAGTACCCGGAGAAACGTCACACCTGCAAAGGTAGGCGGAGGCAGAGGTGAGCTCCAAGGGTGGGCAGGATGAGTGCTGGGAGATCAAATAAAATTACTTTAAGATACTAAACATAGTACTTACTACTAAACATAAATAATCTATAGAAAATGTACAGTCACACGGTCTAACCTAGCAATGCGGCCTCGCTGGCAATATCTTTCTCCCTGCTCCTCTCACTGGCTGACAAGGACCACACATAGCTCAAAGCTATAGCGGGCTGATGTCAACATTACCTGGTCAATTTTGCTGTGTGCCAGATGGTTCTACAAACAGTAACTAGCAAAAGAAAAAAGCAGCCTAAATTTACCACCATTAAAAACCTACAATTCTTGCTGCAAATTGGTTGACTAATACGATGTAACCTAGCCACATGATATTAGTGCACAGGCCAAAAAATTCCAAGCACAGGCCTCCCCAGGTTCTATGACCTTCTCACCCATCATTAGACATCAATCTATAAGGGGGTTTTTTCGTTGGTTACCAGAGTGCAGGTCTTCCCCCTATACAGACAACAGCAACTTCTCAAAACTTCTCTCTGTTCCTGGTATCTGCTGGAATCACAGCATCGACCTCCACCAGAGAAGGACAGAGAGACATGTGGGTCTCCTCCTGGTGCACGAGAGGAGCCCGTGCTTTGTAAGCCCAAGCTGTGAGCTCTTTGGAACAAGTGCTTAGGCTGATAGAAGGGAAAATGCGATGGGTGTTCATTCACATCACAAAAATAGCTCGCCTGGGTTTTGGCCATAGTCCTTTCTCCCTGTACCACTCTAACCTCAGGCATTTCTTGGAAAAGTCATTTAAGTTTCAAAGGAACAAAAATAAATTAGAGCTGATTTTCCAAAGCACTGGCTATTTTTCCAGAATTCAAAGCTAGTGCAAGAAGACAAGCATGGAGGAGCTGGGGCTGGCCCAGTGGTCCCGAGGGCTTGAGGGGGTCTGTAAATGAGAGGATACGGCACACTGAGCTCCCCGAGATAGAGGCCTGGCAGGAAGAGGTCAGCAAACACAGCGACAAGGCCCTCAGGCTGGGCGGCTTCCCTCTCCAGATGGGAACGCTATATGGACGCATTCAGATTGCGGGCTGGCTTTATAACACTAAAAGCGGAGAGAGACCAAGGTTTATCGCCTTCCTTAGTCCCTCACTCATTCATTCAGCAACAGTTCCTAGAGTCTCAGCAAGAGCCACGCATCACCCTAGGAGCTGGGGATACAGAGAGGGCCCCTAGCGAGGGAGACAGGCCATGAAGAGTTGATTACAAGACGGAGGGGAAGCCCTTGTAGAATATGAACACAGTGCTTACAAGCCTAGCGCAGGAGGTGGCCAACAGAGCCAGAGGAGCCCTGAGAGGGAAATGCCAAAATGCTACAATTTTAGGAGAGGGGTAGATTTCACTAGAAAATTGGGGAATGGTTGTTTCAGTCCATGGAAACAACACACAAAGGTGTGAGTCTGGACAGAGCCAGTACCACTGTGAATGACAGCAAGTTCAATGAGCTGGGAGTTCAGGGCTCGGGACAAGGTGTGGTGGGGATGCCCAGGAAAGATCATGGAAGGGGCTGGCTTCTCCAGTGGGCCCTAGGGTGCAGGAGACGAAGCAACAGCTGAGACAGGTCTTTGGGAAGATGGGCAGGCAGAGGGTGGACTGGAGAAGGGGGCAGCTAAGGGGCTGTCCAGGCAACAATGAGGAAAGTGTCAGGGAGAGTAAGGGGAAAAGTTCATCCATGAATCTTGTACAACAGCCTGGCTGAGCACCACCTGTAAGGAGCAGCCTGCTGGGGACAGACATGCTCTCCAGACACTGGACACCCAGATACTGATGGGTGAGGGGGCACCAGCAGCAGAGTAGGACCCCACCCTCTCTTCCTTCTTTCCCACAAGAGCTCTCAACACATCTGCGCTATGCTCAGCAGAAGGCAGACCAGCACATTCCCTGATCCAGGCCTAGCCAAGTTCCACTCCTCAGCCAGACCTCTGTCCTCCATGAGAACGTACCTGGCTGCTCTGGTCCCTGCAGCTCAACAATTCAACCAACTTGCAAAGCTCGCTCTGAGCTTGCCTGGCACTGGTGAGACATGGAGTCCCTCACAGATGCTCTCCCAGCTACTTTATTGTCTGCGATGCTCACTTTGGCATCACTCACATAAACACTGCCTCCTACTGTGTTTCAACTTTCTCCCATCCAACACTTGCCACCCAGAGAGCATAAACAGAGAGCAGGACTCGTTTGCTTTCCAGAGAGTATTAATATCCTCAGTCTTTATCTTTGGAACCACTTCTCTGCGCAGCATTGAACAAAGGATACAGTCTCTGATCGGCAAATACAGAGGACCCAGATTCGACTGGTATCCTGCAGTCCTTTCTGAAGATGGGCAGGTGGTGCAGAGAAAAGCCCAGGCTCTGGGGGTACTGGAGCCCTAATCTAAAGCTCAGCTTGGCCCCTCACTGCCCACGTGGCCTCACACAAGCCACAGCAGTTCTGAGCCTCGGTTCCTTCTTTTGTAAGAGACAGGTGACAATCTGCACCTTGCAGGGCTCCTGTGAAAGGCAAGACACACATGTGACAGCAAAGCCTGGCTCTGGGAGGCACTCCGTAGGCGTGGAAATATGGGCTGCACCCATTAGAGGGAGCGGGCTTGTATCTGGGGAACGCACCAGTTTGAAAAATCGTTCTGTAAATCAGCTCTCCAAGTTGCCAGCTCCTCCTCATCTGAAATGGTGATGTGTTGAGAGGTATCAAGCCAGACCTGACTGCCAGAGAATCATTTACAAACTGGAAGAACCTGTCTCCTCCCAGCCCAGCTGCCTCCTCTCCTCCCCCCAAAGAATAATGAACAGCTTCATCTTAGGCCTCCAGTAGAAAGAGCCAAAGGTGGTGCTGCGGGCACTGGGTGGGCGTGGGAGCTCCAGGAACCGGCTCTTATCTGGAGTGAGATAAGGGAGGTGGAGGGAGCCGGCCAGACAGAAGATCAGCGCCACCTTGGACTGTACCCCACAGCCCATACCAGGCTCAGACCTGCCTCCCTGGATCGAAAGGGTACAGCCTCAACCTTTAACATCAGCTTTCCAATTTAAGTCCAAGACCTTAAAAATGACTACTAGCCGTGTGGGGTAGGTTTCTCACAGAAGATCACCAGAATATTTAGAGTTGGGCAAACCTGGGTGTGGAGCTGCTCACAGGTGCTTGCTGTGTGGCCCGAGGCAAGCTATCTAATCTGTCTCAGCCTGTGTTCTCATCTGTAAAGTGGGGATAATAATACTCACTCATAGGGTTGCAAGGATTAAATTAGACCATGTAGGTGATGCATTCAGCACCTGGTGGCTGCTTGATAACCAGCTCTCATTACTACTCCTCACATGGCCCAAACCCTAGCAAACCGAACAAAAGAGAAAAAGGAACACAAATGATAACCACTCGGCTCCCCGGGCCGAGGAATTAGGTACTTTACAACTAGAGGCTGCGGGCTTTCAATTCAGTTCAAATCTACCTCCTGTGTCTCCTTGGACACTTCACTTCACTTCTGAGTTTTAAGTTCCCCATATGTACAGTGGGGAACCGCAAATGAGGAAGTTTGGGTAATGAACTGAAAACATTCATGGTGCAAGGTGGTTTTATTAATGAAACAGGAAGGCTGACTTAGAAGGACTCTGTGAGTCTGTGTCTGAGCTTCAAGCCTTTTCTTCCAGAAACTGGAGAGTAATATTTTTGGTGCATCTCCCCCCTCCTTTCCCAAAAGGAGAAGGTCAAGGATGAGTTAAATCAGAGGATCTTGGGTAAATGCTCTTGTTAAAGTCTTCCTTGTCAACCACCACCCAACTGTTGCCTTTTTGGAGTTTGATGTGCAATATAAATAAAACCAGTGACCCAAAAATATGAAAGCTTTTTGCATTTTCTGGGAAGAAACAAGATGTGATGCTTTAGTTTCCAAGAATAGCCTTGAAGCAATTTGGTTTTTGCCAACTGAAGTCCCTTATTTGTGGTTCTGACTATGTGACTTCATGAGTCACAAAGCAACTCCGTTTCCTTGCCTCTGGCTGCTACAGACTAAAACTTGGGACCTCAAATTGCCGGAGATACACTTTTAATGGGCTTGGCCCATGGCATCTGGGAGACAAGTTCAAGGTTTATGTAGAATCCCTGAGTTCCTCTCAAATTAGAGAAGGAGCCTCCTGGCCCAAGAGTTGCCAGTGCACTTACATTTAGGACTGTCACACCTTCTGCCTTCCCTGGGCCTCATCACCTGTCAAATGGCATCAAAAGGTGTCACCAGGTGGTGGATAAACGGCAGAGTCCTATAGAAACTTCAGGAGGGCTGGAGGGACACTGGGCAGAACCTTCCCACAAAGCAGCAATTTGGCTCAGGAGAAAACTCAACCCTGAACCCCACCCTCAAGACTTACAGATAAGATATGTTTCAAGGTAAATACAACCTTAAGAACAAACCCTCTTGCTACTGATACTACCAAGCTCCCCATTCCAACTTACCATCTCCCAGGTTACCTCACCAAGAGGCCACTGGGAGGGCCAGTTTTCACAGCAATGAAATGGGGGGCTCCCCCCCCCCCCCC